ACTGCTGCTACGTGTATACCCAAAGGAATTGAAAGCAGAGCTTGAACAGATACTCGTGGTCCTATGCTCAACGTAGCATTATTCAAAATAGTCAAATGATGGAAACAACCCAAGTGTCGATCAAGAGGTGAATGAGATAAATAAACAAAATGTGGTATATCCATAGGATGGAATATCATTCATCCATAAAAAGAAGTGAAATTCTGATACATGCTATAAGGTGCATAAACCTTGAAGACATTATGCTAAGTGAAGTAAATCAGACACAAAAGGGAAATATTGTACAGTTCCACTTCTGTGAAAGATCTAGAATCAGCAAATTCAGAGACAGGAAGTAGACTAGAAGTTGCCAGTGGCTGAGAGCAGGGGGAAGTGGGGACTTACTGCTTAGTAGTTAGAAATTCTATCTGGGGTGATGAAAATATTTGGAAATAGCAGTGATGGTTCTATAACATTATAAATGTAATTAATGCCACTGATTTGTACACTTAAAAATGGCTAAAATGGCAAACTGTTTAATACATACTTCACAAGTTAAAAAAAATTAATAATCTAATATACCAAAACATTGAATTGTGTGCTTTAAATGGATGAACTATATAGTATATGAATTATATCTAAATAAGTCTGTTTAAATAAAAACAAATTGAAGTGGTTGATGAGAGGAAGGAACAGACTGCAAAAGAAGTAAGTCCATAGGCATTAGAATATAATCACAATGGAATATTCCTATACAATTTTAAAAGGACAAACATTAATTAAATATATTGTATGGTAATACATGCATTTGTAGGAGAAGCACAAAAATGTATGCAAATGATAAATACTATTTCAGGAGAGTGATTACCTCTGAGAAGGGAGGAGAAGAATCAGGGAATGAAGCTCTAGCCATAAGTGTAATGTACTATTTTCTTTAAAAACCAGAAGCAAAGATTTCATAATAGCCTGTGTTAAAACTAGGTACTAGGTACATGGCCATCTACAACATTAATTTATATATTATTTTTTTTATATTTAAGTATTTTAAGCATTTCATATTTCAAGGACAAATATCTCAAAATATAAAGAAATAAAAGATTTCTTTTACAGTGGTATTAAAAAGAATATTAGGGAATAAACATTAAAAAAATAGACAAAAATCATTTTAAGAAACTTAAGAAGGACATCAGAGGAGATTTGAATAGATTAAAAAATCATTTTCTTGGCTAAGACTCAATCTTGTAAATATCACCCCTAATCTGATGTATACATTTAATATGAAACTAACCAAACATCAACTGGTATCTTGCGGTTTTGTTTTGAAGTTGATGAAATAATACAAAAGTTTATATGGAAAAGTAAACTTGCAGGAATAGCCAGGGAAATTCTGAAAGACTAAAGATGGAAGACTAGTCCTACCAGATAATAAAACATAGTAAAGGCAACAATTTGACAAGTTTAATATAGGAAAAGGAGGGGGAAAATATCAATGGCAAAAGAAGGTTCAAAAATAGACCCAAATACTTAAAGAAATTAAGTAGGTCACAAAATGAAAACATCAAATCAATGGCAAAGTGATGGGTAAGTCAGCTGGTCGCTTAAGAGGTGAATCAAGTTAAATCCCTACCTCAGTCTTAACAACAGTTACAGAAATTCCATGTACCTGAACATTTAAATGTAAAATATGAAATCGAAGGTTTAAAGCGCTCCAAGAGAATTTATTTATACTGTTAGAGTGGGGAAGCAGCCATAAGACAGTCTGAATACAGCCAGTTCCCATTACCTTCACAAGCCACAACCCTGGTCGTTTAAGTGGCTGCAAAAGCCTTCTAATTGGTTTTCCGCTTCTACCCTTGCCTTGCCTCCCAGTGTCTAGTCTCAGCATTGCGACCTGAGTAATCAGCTGCTCTGCTCAGTTCTACAATGAATTCCTGTTTCATTCAGAGTAAAAGCCAGTCAGTCTTATAACGGTCTCTAAGGCTGTGTGGGGTCAGTTTCCCATTATCTCTCTGACTTCACCTCCTACTACTCTCCCCCTTCATTTCCTGAGCTCCAGCCACCCTGGCCTCCTTGCTAGTCCTTAAAAATGCCACGCACTCTCCCAGGCTACGTTCTGCACGCACTGCTCTGGCCCTGGATATCGCCCCGCATGGCTTTTCACCACCTTGAAGTCTTTGTTGCAGCTTCACCTGATTCTCAGGGCAGCCTATATATAGGGTCTGGCAGAAGTAACGTCTGCCTGAGTGTGGTTGGTAGGGTAATAATATGGGTGTAATGATTTATAGTTTTAATTTGAACATTTCACCTCAAATGTCATATAAGTGTGCTTGAGTATGACAGTGTTATACTACAGAATTACATGCTTATGATTTTGTAATAAAAAAGGGGCGCTATTTGTGCTGGACCCTGTATATATAATGCCAAGCAGCCAAAATAGCACCTGGCATACAGAGGGAACTAGCTAAATATTTGTGGAATTATTTGCAAATAAATAAACAATGAGGGTAAAGTCAAATAATGTCTGAAACAATTATAATAATACCTTATAGTTTTATTTTGAGAGAGAGAAATAGAATGCATTTGGAAATCTAAATCCAAGAGAACAAAAATACATGACAATATCATATACGTCAAGAGGGATGTGACTGAGTTAATGTGAAATAAAGTTCTGGTTGTATGGAGAAAGTAAAGATATTGATGAATTTGAAATTATTGTAAGTTAAAACGGAATGGTCACGTTTTCTTGAGAGCTGGACATCTAGGAGCACAGACTGTGTGAACCTATCTATATAAAGTCAAAAAAAAAAAAACCCCAAAAAGTAAAACTAACCTGTGGCGATAGAGAACGGGACAGTGGGTAACTGAGGGAATGGAAAGTTAATGACTGGAAGGGCGCATGGGGGGCTTCAGGGGTGCGAGGTATTGATTACAGGGGTGTGTCCACTTGTATAAAATTTTCCGACCCATACACTTATGAGTTGTGCTTTTAGAGGGGCTCCATATTTTATACTTCAATAGGTAACTACTCACAAGATAAAAATATAGTGAATAACCTCCCAAGTGGAGAGAAGAGGTGAAATAAAGAAAAAAAAAAGCCCCTCAAACAATTCGAAAGAAAGTAACAAAGGGAAGACAAAATAGAAAAGGTGGACAAATCAATTATTATAGAATAAGATGGTTGAATTTAACTGTTGTGTATCCAGAATAATGCATGAGAAGGAATAAGTATACCAGTTAAAAGGACAAAAATGTTCAAACTAGATTTTTTTTTTTAATCCAGCTACAGGGGACATAATAAAAAAGTGTAAGTATATTAAAAAGTTGAAATTAAAGCATTGTGAAAGAAAATTACAAAATTTAAAAAGTGACAGAACTACAAAGAAATATATAAACAACTCTCTCAATAAGTAATAGAATAAACTGACAAGAAATTAGGAAGGAAAATGAAATATCAACAGCCCCATTGAGAAGTGTAATTTCATGATCATGTACATAGGTTATATACAACAAGTATAAAACCTACAGTCTTTTTAAGAACACATGGAGTATTTGTTCACATTGGTATATGCCAGGCTCTAAGATTAGGTTCAATGAATTTTAAGGGATTGGAATCTACAGACTACGTTCTCTAAAGAGATACAACTATGTTAGAAACTGACAAACTAGACAAATACTTATGTTTAATAATTGAAAAATCCACTTCTGAATATTTCAAGGGTCAAGGAGAATTCAAAATAAGCAAGTTTAGAAGTAAACTATAATATATTCCATATTAAAACTTATGAGATGGAGCTACAGCAGTACTAGAAAGAACTGTATGACCTTGAGTATGTATATTAGAAAAGGAGAAAGGTTGGATTAGAAAGGTAAGCTTCAAATAAAGGAAGGAAATAATAAGGATCAGAACAGAGAGCTCTGAAGAGGACAGACATATGAGAGGGAGCTTGGGCATCCTCACTCCAAATTCTGCAGTGATCAAACCCATAATAAAAAATAACATGAGCAACATTTTAACCATATGTTTGAAAGTTTAATGAAACAGACAAATTCCTAGATAAGTATACATATTTTTCAATATGTTTACTGTATTTCATTATACAAGTTAAAAAAAATTATTTTTAGAGAGAGGGAAAGGAAGGGAGAAAGAGAGGGAAAGAAACATTGTGTGGTTGCCTCTCACATGTCCCCCACTGGGGACCTGGCCCCCAACCTAGGCATGTGCCCTGACTGGGAATCGAACCAGCGACCCCTTTTTTACTCAGACGGGCACTCAATCCACTGAGCCACATGAGCCAGGGATCATTATACAGATTTTAACTCTGAGGCTTAAATTGAGAGTATAGCATAGTTAAACAAACAAACAAACAAAAATAGTCCATACTGTCCATACCATTTATAGGCAGAAAAACCTGTGTTTTTTTTACTTCAAAACTCAGGTGACTGAGCAGAAAAACTGTGGTTTCTTTCTTTCTTTTTTTTAACCCACAGCTGAGACAGGAAGCCCCACCTGGGTGCTGTGGATGCTCAAAAGGTCAAAGCATTAGCAGGACTAAGCAGTTCAGGTAGCAGGCCATTAGGAACTGCAAACCCTGCCCCAGGTAGAAGAATGAGGCCTTGCAGACAGCTCACACTGGCACCTTGCTTGTAGTGCCTACAGATTTCCCCTCCTACACATTTCAGCTATTTACGTGGACACACATTTTCTTACCTTTAGTATCAACAATAGTAACGGCTCCCACTTGCGGGACAATGTGATGCCTTACATAGGTTCTTTTTAATCCTGACAACACAACCAGGGGCTGTTGGTCCAGTTTTACAAAGGAATAGACTAGTGGAATAACTTGTTCACAGGCTCCATCTTCATCAGGTGGAGACTAAGACGCAAGGCCAAGTCTATCTGATGCCTCCCTTCACCTGTCCCTTGAAACCCAGAGGCCCTTGGAAGTCGTCTTCAGAGCATAGTGAGTCCAAGGCAGGCTCTGCCCTAGCCTGGCCCACCGCAGCCTGTCCAAAGCACCTACCTTCCGAATAACATCTCGCACAGCAAAATACTTCTCGGTGAGGTCCCCTGCCTCACTCAGTGGGGCGTCATAGTCGTAGCTGGTGGGCTGTGGTTGGTAGGGCGTGTTGGCCCCTGGAAGACAAAAACATACCACTAGTTAGTACTAAAGGCCTTGCCTGGGACAGGTTCTTTGGGATTCGTGGGCTTAGCGCTATGGAGGGAGAAAATAAAACACCCCTTTGAACTGTTAAGGGTCATCGAGGCGCCCCTCCTGGATGCAAGGTTTAGGGAAATTAGTTTCCTTCTCCAGGAAGCCCTTGCCAAGCACCCTGGAGTCTACAGCACACTCTCCCCATCCTCTCTCAGCAGAACTCATAGCTGTGACATCAACAGATATCCCTGCCGTGGGACAAGCAGAGCATCTGAAACGCTACAAAACTTGCTCATCATAACCAGTCACGGCAGGGCTTATGACACGACCCCCATCTCTGATGGTTAGTCCTGGGATCTTCCTCATGACCCTGAATTGTGTGTCTGAGAAAAGGTCAATGGTGGAGACACGGGTGGCTTGGCCAAGGACAAGCAGACAACAACTGGGAATTGTCAGACCAAACAAAATGAGAGATAACTACGCACACAGATGAACCCACAGAGATTCCAACGTAACCTTAAGGCCTAGAGAAGGTGCCCGGGTGCGCCTCTCCCACCCCTCTTCAGGATTAAGGCACTCACGGGTCCCCCCAGCTGCTGGGAGCGTTAGCTGCTGCGGGCTCTCAGATGTGTCCCTCTCTGGTCACAATCCTCCCGGGATAGCCCTGACCGATGTGGGGACAAGAAAACTCAGCCCCTTTGCCTCAAAGGGCCTTCCCGGCCCCATTGAGAGCTCCGTCTAAATCAGCTGAGCCCCTTTTGAATCCACGTAACAGCCTAGCGTCTCCCTCCACTCGGCCCTGCCTCCCGCACTCTCTCCCAGGCGCCTGTGTGCCCTTACGAACACAGCCCAATAAACTTTCTGCTGGGTCATCCCTGAGTCTGTTTCTGAGGGAACGCAACCGGCAAAGAAAGCAACAAATGATGTCAATGCTGTGTATACACAAAGACTCGGAAAGCAAATGGTCTTGCGATTATTGCTGAGGGAGCAGAGTCTAGAATAGAGGACCCAACCTTGTCACACGTGAAATTTACAGGTGGGAGTTTGTATGCAATACAGGGCCGTGACCGTCTGCCAGCACTTGGAAAATTCACCCAAGCATGAGAGTCACACGCAGAGCTTGTTAAGAGATTCCTAAACCCTGCCTGAGAGTCTGAATCAGCAGCTCTGGGGTGGGACCTGAGACCCTGCATCTCTATCAGGCTCCCAGGTCTGTGGCCAGCAAGGTTCTGTGCCACCCCTTTCTCTTCTACTCTCGGGGCATCTGGTGATGTAAGTGCATGAGAATAAGGTTATTCTTACATCCAACCTAAGTTTTAAGTAAACGAGGCCCCAAATCTGAGAGTCTACCTATGATTTAATAACAAATTCCTTCAAACGGTCGCAGCACTCACAAATGATGTATCCACCCTGGGTGATCTGACGGGTGGTTGCATTGACGCATGAGCAAGGTTAAGTGTTAGGTCACCCGCTAAAGGCCCCTTTTCATTATTCTCTGCACAGAATCTACATTTGGAAATACCTAAACCAACGGAATCGACTGGGTCATGTTACTTTCTCCCCATTTCTTATTAACCAGAGGCAGCTGCCTGCCAGCAGGTGCGCCTGCCTCTGGGGATACAGATGACAAGACACATCCTTTGTCGTGAGAGGCAATGAAAAAGAAAACCACATCCCTTTCTGCAAGGAGCTCACCTTCTCCTTTGCGGTCCCTTCTCTAGTTCTAAAGTGGCAATGACAGTCCTGTCCTGTGTTTCTCACTTGTATCTCTGCCTGCACACTAGACACGGCATGCACCTTAGAACTAGGTGTGGCCTCATTGTCTGGAGGCTCCCCGCAACCCCCCGCAGCCAGGACCGAAGAGGAGCTCTGTCAGTTGCTGAGTTGAGTTGAACAAGTGTGACTTCCGGAAACAAACTTGACAAGCCAAGAGAACCCCGGCTGGGAAGCTGGCCAGTGGGTTAAAGGATGGCCTCGCAAAAGAAGTCTTTGCTGTATTTCTACCAGCAGAAGCTTTCTCGGGATGGTTTCAGACCACCACAGTGTGCTAGAGAAACAGCGCGAACTCAAGCCTCTTCTCCACGTCAGGGGGTGTGAGGTAGGAACGCAAACAACGGCAAGACTGCCCCATCCTCAGCTCTCCATGTGGTGTGAGATGCCATAGGGCACCTGGCGCCCACAGGAGCCCCTCTCACAGGTCGGGGCCCACACAGGCAAGAGCGTGGCGTGCACACTACTAGCATAAGCGTGGGCGCTGACGCCAGGTAAGATGGGCAGTGAGCTCACGATGTGTTTCTCTCACAGCTCTCAGGGACGCTGGCCTGAGGAACAGCAGCTGAGAAGCAGACTGGCTCTCCCTCGCGTCCCCAAAAAGACCAGGCCACTAGCAGGTCAGAGGGGCCTGGCGTTCCCAAGAAGGGCTGGTCTAGGGGCTGGAGCAGGGATTGCAGGCTGCAACGGCAGGGACCAGCCGTCCAAGGCCTGAGTTTGGTCCGGGCTCCACCCCCTGCAAGCCGAATGTTTCGTGCCCTGCTTCTCTCATCTGGAAAGTAGGTTGGTAATTGTAGCCCAGGTGAGACTGTTTTGAGGACTACATGGGAAAACCGAGGTAGAAAACAGGCTTTTGTTAATTATGGCAGGGTGACGAGCAAGGGAGAAGATTAAAGACAAGTTCTAATTTTCTCAGTGGTAGCTTTCATATTATCTAATTTTTTAAAAAAAGACGACTATTGTTTTAAGGAGAACAGTAAGATATTTAAAAATGATATCATGAATAGTAAAGTTTCCAAATATATCAGCCTTTTTATGCCTTTGGATTAAATCATGATTGGATTGGCTTTTTCCGATCCGCCATCTGCGGTGGAGTCGCCGCCAAGATGCAGATTTTCGTGAAAACCCTTACGGGGAAGACCATCACTCTCGAGGTTGAACTCTCGGATACAATAGAAAATGTGAAGGCCAAGATCCAGGATAAGGAAGGAATTCCTCCTGATCAGCAAAGATTGATCTTTGCTGGCAAGCAGCTGGAAGACGGGCGTACTTTGTCTGACTACAACATTCAAAAGGAGTCTACTCTTCATCTTGTGTTGAGACTTCGTGGTGGTGCTAAGAAAAGGAAGAAGAAGTCTTACACCACTCCCAAGAAGAATAAGCATAAGAGAAAGAAGGTTAAGCTGGCTGTCCTGAAATACTACAAAGTGGATGAGAATGGCAAAATCAGTCGCCTTCGTCGGGAGTGTCCTTCAGATGAATGTGGTGCTGGAGTTTTTATGGCCAGCCACTTTGACAGACACTATTGTGGCAAATGTTGTCTGACCTATTGCTTCAACAAACCAGAAGACAAGTAATTGTATATGGGTTAATAAAAGACATGAACTAACATTTAAAAAAAATAAATAAATAAATAAAAAATAAATCATGATTGGATTGGATGGACTGGTCTGAATGCCATGAATGGAAGCCAGGTGGAATTCCTAGCTACTGAATGAAAAAGGCCTCTCAAAGTCTTACCTCTTTCTAGCAAGAAGACAGAGACACACAGCGATGGTCTAAAACTTCATTTACCAACCTTGCACACTGTCTTTCAATCAACGACATTTGAGTCTTGCAATATCTCCATTTCTCGGCTCTAACAATAGTAGTAACATCAACAATACTTGCAAGCTAAGCCTTCTCCTAGCCCACCCCACCCTGCACAAAAGGGAGCAGCTCTGAGGAGAAAATTCATTAAGAGCAGAGAGTACACAATTAGAGATCTTAGGAGATTTAGGTCCAAACTAATCCTTCAAACGTCAACAGCAGGGCATCCTTAATGATTCAGAGAGAAAAATACAGATGTAAAGAGAGGCGGGGAATGAGGTTTAGAGAAAGGCCAACAGAGCACGGTATGGCTTTGTAAAAATTAATGGCAAGGGAGAGAATTTTGTCATAAATTTTCCTATCAAAAAAATATTTTACATATAAAAATGTAAAATAGTGCAGCCACTTTGCAAAACAGTAGAGCAGTTCCCTCAACTTAGAGTTACAAAGTGACCCAGCAATTCCACTCCTAGGTATAAACCTGCCCCCCCAAAATTGAAATGGAGTCCAACAAATAAGTATACATTAATGTTCATACATTGTTCAGAATAGCTGAAAAGTGGAAACAACCCAAATACCCATTAGCTGATGAGTGACTAAACATGTTGTCTATCCACACAATGGAATATTACTCAGCAATAAAGAGGAATGTGGTACTGACATAGGCTACTATACGAATGAAACTTGAAAAGATTATGCTAAGTGAAAGAAGTTGAACACAAAAGACGGCCTATTATACGGTTCTGTTGAAGATTTCATTTCTTTATTTTTAGAGAGGGGCAGGGAATGAGAAAGAGAGGGAGAAAAATATCGATGTGTAGTTGCTTCTCACATGTCCCCTACTGGGGATCTGGCCCGCAACCCAGGCATGTGCCCTAGACTGGGAATTGAACCGGCAACCCCTTGCTTCACAGGCCAGCATTCAATCCATTAAGCCACACCAGCCAGGGCTGTATGGTTCTACTGATATGAAAATTCCAGAATAGACAAATCCATAGAGAGGGGAAAAACTAGTGGTTGCCAGGGGTTAGGAGGACAGAGAGTGGGGAATTTCTTGGGTTTGGGGTTTCTTTGTGAACTGATAAAAGTGTTTGGGAATTAGATGGTAGTAATAGTTGCACAGTTTTTTGATATACTAAATACCACTGAATTGTACACTTGAAAATCATGAATTTTATGATATGTGAATTTTAGTTCCACCAAAAAAAGTTAAAAAAAGACCACAGCAGAACACATATGCACAAGCGAACTAAAGGTTGTGACCGAGACCTACCTAGACAGCCTGGTTTAAGACAATAAGGTTCCTAAATGTGCAATTTATGAATTTTTTTTACAAAGAAAAATGATTTCTTAATTTATATAGCCAAATCTTATACATTTGAAAATATAGAAGACAAACAAAAATAGAAAATAAAAATTATCTGTAGGTAAAACCCCCCAAAATCAAGCACCAGAATCCTTTTAGCATAAGCTTCCACAAACAGATGTGAAATTGCTCTTACCATTCCAATAGGCAAAATTGGTCCCACCTATAAACATGTACCTACAAGGAAACAGGAGAACAGACAGTACTTCATTATGAGCCAACAGCTGGCAGGGGACGCCCTCCCCTCCAGAAATTACCACTCACAAGTTCACGTTTGCCCCATGGGCAAGTATTTCCTGGAGGGAGGATGCTACTGCTTCGGTCTTGACTGTTGAGTGAGGCTGGCCCCAATGGTCTAACCAGCCCGTGTAGAATTCAGAATTGATCTAAAAAGAGAGAGGGACATGGAGCTTAGGGTCGAGTCATGACCTTCATAGGCAGGGGTTATTGCTCTGGAACGGGTTCCCCAGGCTCCCCACCAAGGGACAGGTACAAGGGGGAGTTGACATGCGCTGCTCAACCCAGAGCTGGGGGACCAAGGAGGACTTCCAGTCACAGCGTGGCCCAAGCTCATTATTCAGGTGCCGGTAACATGGCATTTCCTGAAAAGCTATACCTGCATCAAAATTTTGTTAACCAATCCCCAGTTTAAATACGGTAGGAAAGTGTGTGGGGCAAAAGAATTGGAGGGCAAAAATATTGTTATAATATAATCAGCTCCAAATGGACCCTTCGGTTTTTAGATCTCATGTTGACTTAGAGTGAAGTCAGCTTGTCCAAGTATTCTGCAAAGCAGGCCCCAAGCACCTCATTTTTCTCCTGGGCATTACCCTGACAAACCCTTGGTCTAGAGAAGGAAGAAGAAATCTGGACATGTTCTGGAACCTTCTCATCTCAGGAAATAGCTCCACCCAAAGGCTGTGGGTGCAGGTTCTGCACTGCTCACTAAGCAGAGGCCAGATTTGGAAAAGGCTGTTTTGTACAAAAGTCTGCACGCAGGTGGGGCCAGCTGACCCGCGCAGAGAAGGCACAGGACATAAGCCCTTAATCTGGGCCGAGTCACAACAAATTGTGTGGAGGAAGAAAGAGCAGAGTGCTGGACTGATGGACTATATACACCTTCCTGGGCCTTGCACCAGCTCCTCCTCCTCCTAGCTGCCTGCATGGCATGCCACAAAGACCAGCAGCTCACAGTGTGCTCAGCAAACCTGCGTCCCAGTGCCACCTGGTTGCCCATCAGCAATGCAGAAACTCCGGCCCCACCCCAGCCCCGCTAGGTCAAAGTTTGCACTTTAACAAGTTTCCTACGTGCTTCATGAGCACAGTGAAGATGAAAACACAGACCTCAACTCAGATCCTGCCCTGCCACTCTCCAGCTGCACAACCCTGAGCAAGTGACACGTTCCCTGAGCCCCACAGAAAATGGAGCCAATACTACTACTTCTGAGAATAGCCGTGAGGACTAAATGAGATGAAATAGGCACGACCACTGAGCCTGGTGCACGGCAGGGCATTCATGTTAGTCTGTATTTTGTTCCACCCCAGGGCAGAGCCTCAGTCTCAAGCAGGGGCATTGCTGCTGCTGTCACTCAGGTGTCCAGAGGGCTATGTCCCTGCAGTCCCAGAGCCAGAAAAACCACAGATCTACCCCCACCCTTCTACAGCATGTAACCTCCCTCCCAGCAACTGTAGTGAAGTTGGTACAAGCAGTCTCTCCACACTCACTCCCGATTCTTACCAAGGGTCCTTTGGGTTCATACTTCCTCTGGATTAGGAAAGCATCTGTGATGTTGGCACCTGAACATTATCGGAAAGAGAGAAAAGTCACTCACGGGATGACAAGAAGTTCAATAAAAAGAGCCCTTTGTAGGACTTGAACCTGCGGCCCCAGTCCTTCCCCACACTCCCATGGACCCGGGCCACCTCTAAGCTAGCTTTAGGCTGCACTCACAATGGATGTGTGGGGACCACAAAATGTTGCTTTCTTTCTGAGCAGGTCCCCATAGCCTGTCGTGACTGCATTGCCTTGGGAGTTCACTTCGCCTGAGTCTTCTTCACCTGTGTTTCCCCACGGCCTGGACACGTCTTATGAGAGTCTCTCTTCACATGGACATCTGGTTGACCCAGAGGTTCCCCACAGGATGGATGTGCTCTGCAGTCTTCCCTGTAGCCTCCACAGTGCCACACACAGTAAGTGCCACAAATATTTACCAATTAATCAATGGATCATAGGGATAAATGTGGTCTAATTGTGTCTATCTCTAAATAATGGAGTATCTCTGAATTTTGATTTGTACACCATTAACTACGTGCTCTCCATTTTTCCTTCTGAGATATTCTTTAGGATGCCTGTGCCTTGTCTACCCATGTCTTCTCTTCTCCTTTCCTCCCCTAAAAAGAGAAAGGATTTCTCCACGGAGACATCATGTCTGCCTTATGTCAGTGAAAGAATGAGCATGAACAGTGTCTCTCCCAACAGAGCAGGGGACACCGTGGTCCCATATGTCACAGTCCAGGTATCCCAGACTTCACAGCAGGTACCGCAGAGTGGAAGTAGCACCAGCCAAGACCTCCGAATTACTTCTTGCTCTCAGATGGGCCTCGGGTTGGTTCTCTGTAAGACCAGCTTTCGGGAGAGAATGTGCTGATCAAGAAAAAGCGTAACCGCATTTTACTTGATGCTCTAAATGTCTCACTAGTAAGCGTTAGGTGGTGTTCAGGTCTGTAGTTTCTCTTCTCGTGAGTCTCTTCCCGTGATCTGACCTCCATCCAATGTCCTGCTGCCTCACAAATGAATGAAGCTGCCACAAGCCCACCTGCCCCAGGGACACGGGACTTGCAGTGATCTGTCCTTCAACCCACGGGTAGCAATCCTGCTATCACTCTACCTACAAACAGTGCTTGCAACACACTTGTGATAAGCTTCCATTTGTCCCTCCCAGCAGAAAACACTGTGATGAGAGGTGTGCGGAAGCAGGAGGAAACCGGCCTGCCACTTCCTGTGCAGCTCTTTGGAGATGAGTGATTTCATCACCAGATGCTCGGAGCAGCGTGCCGTGTTTCTAGAAACACTCAATTCACTTAAAGCCAGTTCTTTTCTTTTTTGGTAATGCAGAAGAATCTCCTTAAAAACACAGTTACACCCTTCCCAGGAGAAAGAAAGTGCTGGACGTGCAATGCGCATGGGGTATCTTATTTTTGGACAGAAGACCAGCTGGGTCTTTATGAGACCTGAGGAATGTCCTTTTGTGTGGGGTGGGGGTGGGTGGGGGAGATGCAAAAAGAGTTTCAACTTTTTTAAAAAATTAATTGCAAACTTAGAGAAGAGTTGTGAGAATAGTACCAAAACCTCATATTCCTTTCACACAGGTTCTCCAATTGTTAACATTTTACCACATTTACTTTATCAATTTCTTTCTCCATATAAAAGCGTATGTATTTTGACGTCATGTGAGAATAAGTTGCAGGCATGAGGGCCCTTCACCCCTAAATACTTCAGTGCGCTTTTCCTAAGAGCAAGGGCAGCCTTTAAATAAACACGACACACACATTGAAAACCAGGAGATTAGCATGGCTTCATTACTATTATCTAACCTAATCTACAGACTACATTCAGATCTCAATTGTCACAATAGTGTTCTTTCTAGCAAAAAATAAAGAGAATGGGGGGAGGGGGGTCCGGTCCAGGATCCTTTTCGGGACCGCATGCTGCCGTCATGTCCTCTATGAAAGCTGCTCTCAACCTAAATGAAGAGTCTCTTAGTTACAGCCAGAAGCTAATTATATCCAGAAGCATCCTAGCCATGCTGCACCAACCCCCAAACTTTTATTTGTGGAACCTCTGCTGCTTCTATGGCACTCACAAGTCAGGAAGGATGAGTTTTGTGGCATTTACTAAACCACCTCTGCCCCGGGAGGGTTCACAGTGTTACACGTTAAGCAGAAAGGTAAAGTCCTTGCCCTTCAGGGCTGACAGGCTAACACCAGCCAGCCAGGGGCTGACCTCAGAGCTCGCTATGGCCACACCAGGGCCCCCAAGCACCCAGCCATGACTGGGGGGGACACGGAAAACAGTGAAGAGCAGTGTGTCCCGGACGGGGAGTGAAAGGAGGCTGCCTCACAACAGCGCGTCTCACGGCTGGAGCAGCTGCTGGGCCGGCCAGCTGGACCCCGAGAGAGCAGTGCTCCAGGTTCGAGGCGGGCCTCGCCCGCACCGAAAACGGAGCTCTTGTCCTAAAGGCCACATCAGCTTAAACAAAGTAACCTCGGCCATGGAGGGGGGCTTTATCAATTATTCTATTTTACCTATGACTGGATACAGGAAAATGCGAGGAATCTCCTTCAGCAGCTCCATGCCACTTAACACAACAGCCGCCCAGAGAGACAGCCCAAGCCAGCATGCCCAGCCTTAGCTGGGTTTCGTGCCACTGCTGTGTGCCCACCAACCTGGTCCAAAGTCCACGGTGGCGTACAGCCCCTGCAGCGCCCCGCACTGCACAAGTTTCTCATTCGAGCCATCGGTGGTGAACAGAGTCACCTCGTTCCCCAGGTGGTAGCGGAAGCGCGTCTGCAGGAAACGCAGGTAGTCATAGTCACAGGCGAAGTAGCTGCCATACTCATTTTCCACCTGCAAATTAAAAGAAGGGAGGGGGAAAAAACCATCAGAGATTCCAATGTAATCATTCTAATGAACGCTTTTGTTTGGACAAAACACCTGAGTGTCTATTGTGACATAACGAGATTTAATGATTGTCAAAAGTATCCCCTACGCTCGGCCCTCAAAACTCATTTTCTAAAAAGCAGCTCAGCCTAAAAACTTACCTCTCCACCCGGAAACAAGAAAAAGAAAACAAAAATCACCATGTTTGTTTTCGAAGTGTAGTGATAGTCTACGCTATGATAGATCGTAGATCCTTTAAACATTACATAAATAATACCTCCCCATGGTAGAAATATTAGAAAATGGAGGAGAGTGAAAAGAAAGTAGAAAAATCCCCTGTCAGTTTTATTACCCAGAGATAACCACTGTAAGCATCTGGCACAGTCTTCCAGATGTACACACACACACACACACACACACACACACACTCTCTCTCACACACATTAAATATATACAAATATACAGTAAAGGTCCAGGCTGGGCTCCTGCAGCTGTCAGACAGTAATGTTGAGGGCCCCGACCCCCCTCAGGCAGGGGTCTGACCACCCTGCTGGTAGGGATCATTTTGGTCCTGTCTGCAGACACGTCTCCTTGGTGGCCTTCAAACTCTCCGGGCACCAACAGAAAACACTAGCCTGGTGAACTGAGTAAATTCATCCTTCCGCCCCTTGGCCTGAATCAAGACAGAGCTAGAAATCAACTTTTATAGGAACTCCCACACACGGAAACACTGGGGACCAATACCAGCTTCTTATCTAATCCAACCGCCTCTATTCAATTCCACAACCGCTCAGTAGATGTGCGACGTGGACACACTCGGGATGTGACCTCCCAGCTGCCAGGCAGATGTGCGGGGAGCAGAAGAGGCTAGAGCTACACCCGGCAGGGACGGAAGTAGACCAACTTCCACAGACGCTTCACAGAGGCACTGACCGAGCGACCTGAGCCAAGTGTTGCCGAGGGAGTCACCTGCGAAGGCTTTCAAGCCGAGGGCAGCCACGACTCGGGTGTGCAGAGAAGTTTTAATGACGTGAAAAAGTGCTTATGACAGAAGAATAAAGTAAAAAAGAAATCAGACAGGAAACTGTCTACACAGTATGAACTGACTGTAAAAAGAAACTTTTAAAGCCACTGAAAGACATTTAAGGAAATCTCCCCCCAAAATGTAAAGAACTTTGCTTCTGGCTACTGATGTTTAAATGAAAATTATGGGGAGGTTTTTTTCTTATGTTTTCTCTCTCTCTCTTTTTTTTTAATTTATAAATCATGTTTTTCTATTATAGTTGTCTCAATTTTTCCCCCTTTACCCCACCCATCCCACCCCCACCCTCTTATGTTTTTTTTTTGTACTTCCCAACATCGTGTACTTGTTCATTTAGTGATCAGGGGCAAAATGGATTAGGTGGGATTGAAGCAGGTGGGCATGCAAGGGGGAGCGGAGGAGGAGGAAGCCAAGTCCTCTGGTAGGGCCCACATCCAAGTTAAATTCATCTGAGGTTACCAGGGATGGCCACAAAAGAAATGCACCCAAGACAGCCAGCTTTGCTCTCCTCTGCAGAGCTCATATTTGAGTACGTTTTCATGACATTTTTATAACCATAGGTACAGAAAAGTTGTGATCACTGTGATCAGAAATTGAAAGTGATTTAGGGAAAAGTACAGACTTTCTCTAAAAATGAGGGAAATTAAAGTAAACCAGAGATCAAGAGGAGGAAGACCCAGCTATGCAAAGATACACCCAACTTTCAGACAAAAACCTTCACACAGGAAAATGGGCTCCTCCAGGTTTAGTGAGTTCAGACTTGGGACAGATGAAAGGGCACTGAGTGCCACGTGTACGTCCCTTTGGGAGCAGCAGCCTGGCTTTTGTCCGCTGTGCACGTCAGAGCTGGCACCCTGGCCAGCTCACCCTCTCCATGCCTTGTTTGACCTACTAGATGGGCAAGGGAATGGCATGCTCTCTCCCCACAATGACAGTTCCTACAAACTGGCCACAGTTCCTAAGAAGGAAATCTGGCCCACACTCCCCACGGGGGGCGCTCCACTGCCCCTTGGTGCTGTTCCAGGATGCAGCTAGTTTCACGTAACTGTTCTCTTCAATAAGAGCATCTGTGGTAGGTGACTAATGAACACAGTTTGATGTTTTAAGTTTATAAACATCTAAAATCGTTGCAGGTCAAGGGTCCCGATTTTTCACGTGGAAAATACTTGCCACATGATATACCTCAGAAAATACCATTCTTTGCAGAGCAAAATACAGGTGGAAGAAGGAGAGTGGAGGACAGGAAGCAAGAAAGAAAACATAATGACCCCATTCCACCACATCTTTCTCTATCAATGTGAACTGAATGACCAAGCAGGGCAGTCGCCAGAGTGGCTGGGTCCATGCCATATCCCTGCAGCCAGAAGGCAACATGGGATGAGAGAAGGAGACAGTCTACAGTGGACTGGGGGTGCTATGCTGACTCTACCACCTGCCAGCGGGGAGACTTTGGCCAAGTCACTTACTCTCTTTGACGTTTAGAGAGAAGGGGAAGGAGGGAGAAAGAGACGGAGAGAAACATCAATGTGTGGTTGCCTCTCGCATGCCCCCTACTGGGGACCTGGCCTGCAACCCAGGCATGTGCCCTGACTGGGAATTGAACCGTTGATCCTTGGCTTCGCAGTCTGGTGTTCAGTCTACCGTGCCACACCAGCCAGGGTCTCTTTGACATTCTTCATTTAAAAGAGACAATGGTTGGAATAGTTGAATAGCATGGAACGGGCATCCAGGGCAGAGTCTGGTACCTAGCAGGCCTTCAAAAATGGCAATATCTCCCCCAGATGCAATTTAAATCAAAGCACCATCTGTGGCATTGCCTCTTAGAGAAACAGACTTATGAAGCCCAGGTCGGCACCTCTCCTCTATGCATTGTGAGCGGATGGCAGCCTTCCCTCACCGCCAGCCCATGCTCGGCACCGTGCCTACCTGCACTGTTATAATCGGCCCTCCATTCTGATAGAGAAGAGGCTTCATCTTGGGCAGAATGACTCCCAACCACTTGTCCACAGCTGCAAGGTAATCTGGAAAACAAGACAAGTTTAACCCCACGATGCCCCTTTTAGTACAAATAGATATAACACAGCCTTATTGCCCAGGGACCCACAGCAGAGATCAGAATGTACTGGATTCAACAGTGACCTTTCCAAATGGGGCAGCTACATGTATTAAGGGTCAGATAAAAGTGGTCTTGCAAGGAGCCGTCTCCTCAGTTGAGCTGTCAGTGGACAAGAACCAGTATGCCTGGCATCTGTCCCTGTCCCTAGGACGCAAAGCCCGGAGCACAGGAGGCGTCCTGCCAGTGCATGTTAAACGAAGAGAAGAAAGAACGAATGGTGTGTTCTCCTCGCTGTCACAGTGGGGTTTTTCCTTTTACAATTAATCTCCAAAAAATGTTAATATACATTGTCCAGTGGGGATAATAAGTATGTACTTACACAGTTGCCTTACGGATTAAATGATATAATATACGTGAAAACACTAGTAATACACTAAGGGCGCAAAACGTGCAGGGAATACTCTCAGAAGGAAATGTGCATACAGCATGACGCACTAGCCTTTTGCGCAGTGACCTGAACGCAAGCTGCTCTATGACCACCCACATCTCCACCACCACCAGGAGAAACTGAAACCTTCAGAAGACAGAAATGCAGCTAATCGGGTTTCCAGCTAAAATATTTTCCAATAGTTTGCAAACACAAGAACAAAAGGCCTATCGTTTACATATCACTCTGCAAAAGCAGATCAAGGAATGGGACGCGTTGCAGCTACCAAGCAGCCCCAGGACGCTACTCCAGACACTACACCTGCCACGCTGATTAGCTAGATGCTATCACGGGCCCCGCGATATTCTAAGATCATAGGAGGAGAAAGCACGAAAGTCAGTTGGTCAACCACAAAACCGGGCCCAATGCCAATTCAAAGAGTTACCAGCTTGTCAGCAAGATCTGGTCAAGTAGTGCAAGAAAGCTTATTCCTACACATCCAATGTCTGGTATTCTGCCTGGATGATGGATGATAAACGTTTTTCACAAAACTTTCAGAAGCGTTTGCACAGAAGTACTTCAGACTTCAAAACACCTGATTCTCTTGATATAAGTGGTCTAAGTTTCTTAAATTCTCTCAAGACGTCTGTGATATCTTACCTGGGTCAGAAGAACGGAGCACAATATTTTCCTTCTCTAAGAGCCAAGCAGGCAATCCTCCCTCGGATAGGAAAGAAAAAAGAAAGCCAATTTAAGGTCCATTTCATGAAAGGCACGTAGGGAAGACAGAAATAACTACTAGCAATGAGGGGAGAAAAGTTTCACAGAAAAGCGGTATTTGAGTTGGGCTTTCTGATTTGGGGACTTTTGGGGACATTAGAAATTGTATCATCATGGTAAAAACAAGATCACTCTTCATGAATGCAATATTTTGAGAATCATAGCCTTTTCTATAGATTATTCGACTTAATTTCATAGCTTCCCTGTGAGGTCGACAGAGCCCGTACCATTTCCTGCTTTTTATAGTGAGGAAACTGAGTTAGGAACGTGACCACCGGCCTGGCTGGCGTGGCTCAGTGGATTGAGCGCCGACCTGCAAACCAAAGAGTTGCAGGTTTGATTCCCAGTCAGGGCACATGCCTGGGTTGCGGGCCAGGTCCCCAGTAGGGGGCATGCGAGAGGCAACCACACATTGATGTTTCTCTCCCTCTCTTTCTCCCTCCCTTCCCCTCTCTCTAAAAATAAATAAAATATTTTTAAAAGGTACAGATAGGTTAAAAAAACAAAACGACACAGGCAATATAGAAGGCAGGCATGAAAACCTTTACAAGAATATAATAACAAGTTTTAAAAAAAAATAAAGAACTGTGGCCACCAAGAGGAGGACCCATACCTCCAACCTGTTCCTGTTCCTCTCTGCGGAGGCACCTCCTAAGGGTAAAGATGCCTGCGCTGGCTGCAGTCACAGCCCCCGTGTTTTCTGGAATTAGCGGCTTATTGAAACTGCTTTGATGCCCTTCCCCTCTGACCCCGCCTGCCAGCCCACCCCTGTCCCGCGCACCAGGCAGGCAGAGCCCCATCTAGCCACACTCACCATGTCCCACTCCGCACAGATGTAGGGTCCGGGCCTCAGGACCACGAGCAGCCCCAGCTCGTGTGCCAGCTGAAGGAAATATTCCACATCATGATCCTCGGAAAACTGGTATTGTCCTGGCTGGGGCTCGTGAAAGTTCCAGGGCACATATCTGCCAAGACACACACAGCCGCTTTCTGGAAACAGCTCCCAAGTCCAGACACCTGCGTGAATTTCAGAGCTGCCTGCAGAGCGGTAAGCCTGCAGGACGCACCGGCCTCTCCCTGAGGCAGCCTCTGGGGAAGACGTCTTGTTCTGAGCTTTCGCAGCAGCTACCCAAGGGAATCAAACTTGGGGGGCAGGGACACTTTTTAACGCATGACCCACAAGAGAATTACATGAACAGGAATGATTGCTATGTGCAAATTGTATATATGCCTGAGTGAGGCTTACAAAACATGGAAATACCTGTGCTGAAGTCGTAAGAGGTAGAGAATCAGCGTCCCCTAACGACGGGGATATGTTCTGAGAAATGTGTCGTTAGGCGATTTTGCCGTTGTGCAAACACCAGAGAGTGAGCCTGTGACCCTGGATGGTCTAGCCTACTGCTCCTAGGCTGCAAGCCAGTATAGCAAAGCCACATGTGGTGAAGTCAAACATGAGAGAAAATGGTGCCATCAAAAGCTTCGGTGAAGACGGATGGGCAAGCCTGCGGCCAGGGTAACGCGGCATGCTGGCTCACAGCGAACTCTTTTCTATTGATTTATTTTTTAAAATATGGTATTCATTTATTTTAAGAGAGGGAAAGGGAGGAAGAAGAGAGGGAGAGAAACAAACATCAACATGCGGTTGCCTCTCTTGCACCCCCTACTGGGGACCTGGCCCCCAACCCAGGCATGTGCTCGGACTGGGAACTGAACCGGCAACTCTTTGGTTCGCAGGCTGGCACTCAATCCACTGAGTCACACCAGCCAGGGTTCTTCTTAAAATAATAAGTAAAAATAGTATACTCTAAAATAAGAATAGAAAGTAAATACATTCACCAGTAACAGGGTCACCTGTTATCATTATCAAGTATTATGCACTGTATATAACTGCGTGTGCTACACTTCCACCTGACTGGCAGCACACGAGGTGTGTTCAGACCAGCATCGCCACAAACACGTGAGGAATGGGTTACGCTACGATGTTACAATGGCGATGACATCACTAGGCAACAGCAATTTTATGGTTCTGTCTTACAGGGCCTCTATCATACATGTAGTTTGTCATCTACTGAAATGTTGTTATGTGGTGCCTGACTGTACTTATGTTTTGAAAAGGACTTTTAAATAAAACTGAAAAATGTTTCAACCCCTGTGTTCTTCTGACAGAAGACTTTGTCAGGAACGCCATGCAGAGCCCTGGCTGGTGTGGCTCAGTGGACTGAGTGCTGGCCTGCGAACTGGAGGGTCGCCAGTTTGATTCCCGGTCAACGCACATGCCTGGGTTGTGGGCCAGGTCCCCAGTAGAGAGAGGCGACCACACATTGATGTTTTTCTCCCTTTCTTTCTGCCTCCCTTCCCCTCTCTCTAAAAATAAAAAAACAAACAAAAACAACAACATAAGTATAAATCTTTGACAATGGATTAAGCAATGGTTTCATAGCTATAACACTAAAAGCACAGGCAATGAAGGAAAAAACAGATGAAGGAACACTATGCAGGAGGTAAAATGGCAAAAGCCCCTACCAGCTTCCCTGACTACCGAGAGCATGGAATATAAATTTAAGCATGAAGCCACCCACTGTCATCAAAAGGTCTCCCTGATGACCCTGGCTTGTGTCCTTTTTCCATGATCCTATGGTTTCAGGGTTCCCTGGAACTGAGAGTCTTGGCCCCCTGAACACAGGGTTGAAACTATAGACAGACCCCAGTGCCCTCAGAACCAGAATAAGTGGGGTTTCCCCTCATTTATCTGTCCCAGGAATCTGCCTCTGGGTTTTCTCGTTCTTTATTTTTGCAAAATGATTGGCAATGCACATCAACAGTGTAAAAACCAGAGTGGCCAGCCACCCCAATTCTTCCCAGTTAGTCACCTTGCAACAACAGAAGAGGAGAGATGAGGAGATAGCTGTTGGGGTAATTCTAGAACCGCCGGCTACAGAATAAACCCAGAGAACCATGCAGACAGACGACTGGGTTTCAGGAATCCACCTAACAAGACGTATTCCCCCTAAGAGCTGAGGGAAGCTATGACTGCTTACGAACACCCTTCTCTTCAAATCCGAGCCGGACCTGTGGCCAAAGACATGTGCTTGGGAAAAGTTCATTTTCACCAGCTGTAAACAGGAGTGGTAAAACCGTGAGGAAATGGAATCATTCATGTCAAGTGCCCTGCACATAGTGAACAATCCTTCATTATTATTCCGCTTTGCCTTTTCAAGCTGATATTTCTTTCATGATTTCTGGCAGTGAAGTCCAAGATAGTCAGAGGTAATGAATTCCCTGAGGAAGGGACAATCAAGCTCATGACAAGCCCCTCCAGGACACCAGACAATGCTGCTTCCCATTCTGAGCGATGAAATAGTTGCCCTGAGAAATGCAGCTACACCCTCTCTCCAGGCACGAGTGCCTGGGCACAGGTGCGAGCCCAGGGCCCTCCCACTTACATCTGGATGGCGTTCAGCCCAGCCATCTTCATCTTCAGCAGCCGGTCCTTCCAGTAGAAGCGGGGCACGCGGAAGTAGTGAATGCTGCCCGAGATGTAGCGAAACGGTTGGCCATCCTTGAGGAAGCAGTGGCGGTTGTAGTCGATCGTGAACGTCTTCTGGGAGACATTCTACAGAGCAAGGATGAGAACCTGTTGTTATTGGTGGAAAATGGGTTATTGCGGTGTCTTTCTTGAGATCCGCAAGGGAGTGTGGGATTCCGTGGTGAACTTTATGGATGATGTAAATTTAGGCGGGTTCCCCTCCTGCCTTCTCAAAGTCCCATCTCCATCCGTCCCACCGTGGAAAAAGCCTAACCTTGTCTTCAGCAGGGCCAGTGTAAACACCACGGCCCAGAGCTTCTGCTCCACATTAAAGTCCAGTCCAGTCCAGCATCCAGCTAGCTTAGCGTGTGTTCCCAGCCACAGTCCACTGCTGTGCGGTGCTGTTCGGCCTCCCTCCCGGAGCCTGCGTGGGGAGTCCCAATGGCCCCGGGCCACGTGGCTGTTAGGACAACATGGCCCTGGAGAGAGGGCACGGGACCGGAGGGTGTGAGAGCAGCTCACAAGCAACAGAGAGAAAAGGTGCTTCTTTGTTCGCCTGGGGTTATAGCAACCTGGGCTTGGAAAAGACCAGAAGCTTTTTTAAAATGACCAATTCCCAGGCTTTCATGGGCTTTGGAGGGGTCTACACCCCCTAGTTAAGACTGACAGGCCTCTATGGTCCAGTGCCTCCCCCTGAGCCGCCCAACAATCCGGTACCAGAGGAGGGAAGGGAGCAAGGAGTGTTCATCCCCTTGGCGGAGAAATGCTGTAACCTCCTGGAGTGTGAAAAGTGGCAGCTTCCTGGAGAGGCAAACAGGCTTATGCTCCCCGTTTTGTTAAGCTCGGTGCCTAAGTCCCTTTATCCTCCTTTTCTTATTAACAATTAGTTAAATCCCTACCATAACACTTGCACCTTCCGCATTTTGGAAGTAGACCCTTAGACTGTGTCAGGTGACTCCCTGCCTATTTAATTGCGTGATGTGCTGAGTTACCGTTTGGTTTCTGGGCGACAGAACCAACCACGGACGGCGAAGCCAGGTCCACCGTAGGCACTCAGGCAGCAGAATGACCAAGGAGCGGCCCCATGCAGGATTCCACAGGGCTTACCTTGCAGTGCCACACCGACCTGACAATCGGTGGCTGAGACGCAGAGGTTAGATCCCCAAAGAGAAAACCCTGCTGGAGGTGACTCTTCTCATGGGGTAGCAAAGCCCAGTGTGCCAGGACCACCACACACTCACTGCACACCTCCCTCCCTGTGGCTGGGACCTGCCGGAGCACGGAGTGTACCTGACCAGCAATGTCAGCAGGCTAACAGCAACAGAGTAAAAGTCCGAGGCCCTGAAGACTCGTCCTCGGTGTTTCCCTAAGTTCCACAGGGATCTGGGCAAGTCCCTCCCTATTGCATCTCTTCGCCCATAAATATGCAGGGTGTCAAAGTGAACTCTAAAGCAATATTGTTCACATTGTCGGCTGTGACCCAGTTTGTGCGTGATGAACTCGGTTTGGATGATGGTGGTCTCTTGCTAATAAAAGAGATGAGAAAATAGAGTATGTTGCCTGTAGTGAAGTATTATTTTACGAAACTTTTATAATACATTTAGGGAATTGCATATGTATGTCTGTCTCTATAGGGTTGCAATGTAAGATGTCTTTCTAGCAGTCAAATCAAATTTCGACAGAGGCTTTTCTGGTGGGACTTCAGGAGCTGCAGAGGCGAGCGTCTGAAAGGGAGGGAAGGCCTAAAGGGAGGCCAACAGTTAGGCGGAGGGAAATACCGCCCTCTAGTGGACGAAAGAGGCAGCGACCGGCCACAGGTGCCAACAGGACCACGGCACCAAGAAACCATTTCATTGTGGGTAAGGTTCCTTGAGTATTTGCAGGCTTTCAGAGGACACAATATGAATTTTCTAAAAAAGCCTTTTTTACAGCAGCATCACAATCAGTGAGAGCTTTTGGGGGCGCCTTGAAGTCATATCTGAGGCAACGGCGGGAGCATGTGTCCTCTATCAAAGAGCACTGTGACTATAAGTTAAACATTCCAAGTAGATTGCTTTGGGGCAAATGGGAAGCTTCACTGTATGTGAATTACACCGCAAAAAAGCAACCTCAAAATAAAAAAAGTAAAAAATAATCATAAAATAACCCTTTTAATATTAATTCATTCTTCTAGGAAACCAAGGCTTTAATTTCCATTCAAAGGTAGGAGACTCCTAAAGAAACTCACAAAATACAAAATTTATTTCATATACCAGGTGCCCCAAATTTTGAAAGCATTTTTTACAGCACGTATATGACAAATTGTCAAATAAGGGTTTCCCACAAGTTCTGTGAGTTCAAAGGGGGCCTATGAGTTGGGGATGTTCTTTTAAATAGTATGAAGGGAATAAACAACTTTGGGCAGAATTGGGGAAAAGGAAAGGGGTGTTTGAAGTCCATATGTCTAGGGGAAGGGGTTCAGGAAAGCTGGAGCGGAGTTAGTGAGAGATGATGTTGGCAGAGGGTAGAATCTGACCTTTGTCCCACACGACACAGTAGCATCCCTGTATTTAAAATCACATCAAAATTCAGCCTCAATGTCTCCCTATTATCCATTTATAAATATTACCAAACACTTGCTGAGTAGGGATGGCACACACAGATGTCGCCACAGCCCACGTGATACTTCCATCTAACGCAGAAGAAACCCAAGAGTAAACACAGCGAGGCCTCGATGACAAGATCAACACATTGTGCACCTTAAACTTATACAATGTTTTCCATCACTTACATCTCAATAAAGCTGGGGATGAAAAAGGGTCCAATCATGCCCTGGCTGGTGTGGCTCAGTGGACTGAGTGCCAGCCTGTGAACCAAGGGGTCGCTGGTTTAATTCCCAGGCAGGGCACGTGCCTGAGTTACGAGCCAGGTCCCCAGGAGCGGGCGTGTGAGAGGCAACCATGCATTGCTGTTTCTCTCCCTCTCTTTCTCCCTCCCTTTCCCTCTCTAAAAATAAATAAAATCTTTTTTTTTTTTTAAAGGATTCAATCAGAATGCTACAGTGGTAATAAATGACAGGTGACCCACACATAGGGGTGTGAGGGGCAAGGGCAAGTTTCCCTGGGGAAGGGACACCCCAAACTGGTTCTCAACCTTGGTTGCACATCAGAATCACTTGCGCAAGCTTTTAAAAATAGCAACGTCAGGCCTCACCCTCCAGGCATTCAGATTTTAATTGAACTTGCGTGGAGCGCAGGCATTGGTATTTATTAAAACTGCCCAGGTGTTGAAACATGAAGCAGGGTTGAGAACTATTGGCCTAAATGCAACCCTAGGATGAAGAAGAGTTAGCCAAGGGGAATGGTGATGCAGGCAGAGGGAACTCTGTGTGGGGGGTGGGTGGGGCAGCTGGCAGAGAGGAGGTAGCCGCAGGGAAGGAGCCACAGACCTCAGTGCAAACAGAGCATGACATCAGCTGACACCGAGCCAGGCAGGGGCACGATCGAAGGAGCCCTGAAGTCTGAGTTCATGGGCCCGGACTTTATGCCAAGAGCTATGGAGAACAACTTAAATGGAAGAATGATAGCATCAAGCATGTGTTTTCAAATATTCGGGACTCTGGCCTTTTCCTGAAATGGCAAAAAAGCAAGCAGAGACACGGACCACGGCGGTGACAAGAGGTGGCCAGTGGGCAGGCAGGAGGACCCTCAGGACAGGGGCCGGCGTAGGTGGAGGACATCGGGTAACCTCTAGAGGCTCCCCTGGGCCCAGGTGGAAAATTTTGGACACTATTGTTTAAAAAGAGAGAGAGAGACTTAGGAAACGTATCAACAGGAAAAAAGACCACAAGGATGTTAACACCTATGAGTTTGTAATGATACACCGAGTGGAAAAAAATTCACTGGTCACCTTTGGAGATTGCTAGATTACTCATTACTCTGAAAAGTGATAAATGAAAGGAAAGAACCAAGCTGTTTACTTCCCTTTCACATCAAAACTGTATTCCCGGGTAATCAAAAAAATCAACAAGGGAAAATTCTTCACAGAATCCCCACTAATAAATGCAGATGAAATAACAGAATCTGAAAAACACCCTAACGCTTAGTAAAATAATGGATTTTAGGTCAAATTGTCAGTGGATGCTAAAATCATCAACAAGGTTGATGCAAAATTTTATAAAGAAGGGATGGGGCAGATTCTATGTGATTCCTCTGCTTAAGGTCAGCCTCATAGAAATGAAACAAGCAGACACCTCTCAAGAGGAAGTACGCAGCCTCACCTAGAAGCAGTCCCCACTGTTGACCCTGAAGCTGATGATACCAGTGAAAGCTGTAAGTCAAATCCAAAATGTGGGACACGTTCTGGAAGTCCCACGATAGAGGCGCTCGAACAAATTGACGGTATTAAAATTAAATAAAACAATAAGAGTATTGTTAGAAAATTAAAGAGCACTTAAGAAGCATAACCACCTAATGCACTGCGGGGACCTGGTTTTGATCCTGATTTCAACTGTAACAACAAAAAACACGCTGAGACAAAAAATCTGAACATAGACTGGGCATTAGATAGAATTAAAAGAATTATTGCTAATTCTGTTGGGTATAACGATGGCATGGTGATGAGACGAAAGAACAAAAAATCTCATCAGAAGTATTTTAGGGCTGTTACTACATCTGAAGTTATCATAGACCAAAAATAAAAAGAGCAAAAATAGTAGAGGGTATGCAAAGTGATCATTGTTGAAGCTGGTTAGGAGACACAGAGTATTCTCTCTCTCGTCTCTCTCTCGTCTCTCTCTCTCTCCCCCCTTCTGAAATTTTCCATAATAAGAAGGTTTTTAAACATGCAATTACCCTTTCCACGGAATTTTTTCTATGGATGTATTTATAAGCGTACTTTTTGTTGTTGTTACCCCAACACTGTTGAAACCCAATTGCCCTTCAGGATAAAGGCTTTTTCTTAATTACAAAAGAAACAAAGGCATATGTTCATGAAAAGACATAAAAAATGTTCATCACTGCTTTATTCGTAACAGTCCAAAATTGGAAACGAAATACCCACCAACAGGAGAATGGGTAAACAAACTGCGCAACATCTACACAATGGAA